GCTTTAGGAGGGGGGTCGGGAGTGGTGGTTGGGAACGAGACCCCCCCCGTAATCTCCTTCTCCCACCCCTCGAGTCTCGTGCCTTTAGCAACCCTTCTCGGCGTTAATTAGAGCGGAGGAGTTTCATTTGCAAGACTCTCAGCTCCCCTGCCCCAGCCGCCGTTCCCAGCCCTGGTTGGCAGCGAGGTCCCGCGTCCGTGAACCTTGGGCGCAGCCCCGTGCCTTGCTTCACCCTTCCCGGTACTTCATTCCAGCAGAAATCGTCTCAAAGCTGGAAAACCTGGAACAAAACCAAGCTGCCAAGCCTGAAAGTGTCTCCATGAGCTCGTCATCCCGCGGGTCGATGCCAGCACCTGGCTGGATGGCACATCTGAGGGCAGCGAGCCCCAAGGGCTCAACCCCTGTCCCTTTGCGGAGCTGGGAGCAGCATCCTTCCCCCCTGCCCTGTGCACCCACCTTTCCCGGCGGCGGGGCTGACATCACCTCTTGGCACCGCGTTTCGGTGCGGGCAGATGGTAGTGCGAGAGGGGGGTGGCACTTGGCAGCTCTCCGGCTGGTCTGCATCTAGCCAGGCCTCTCCCAGCTGGTGTGGGCACGGGGCAGAGTCCGGCCCCGTGGAGTAAAAACTGTCACTGACCTGGGGACAGCCTCCAGCACGGTCCGACACGAGCAGGATGCGGCCAAGGATGGGTTTGGCCAGCTCTGCCTTTGGGACAGAGCGGTACCGTGGTGCGGGGCCATGCTGCACCGGGATGGCTGGAGTCAAGGTTAAGATGCTGCCAGGGTTGGTTGGAAAAAAAGGGGCAATCTGAACCCAAACGGGGTTGGCACCTACGCGGCGCAGCCATTTCTGTGCCCAGTTCATGCATCCCTGTGCCACGGCCGCAGGTTCCAACCTGCCCCTCCGAGCCCGCGTTTCAAGCTCTCCCCTCCAGCCTCCCAGCAAGACACCCCCTATGGTCACACCTTCCTCCCTGCGCCACCTCCTCCTCCTCGCCCTTCATCGCTTGCGGATGCTAACCCACTCCCTCCGTCGCACAACGCGGCGTTTTGCCGGGGCGGTCACAGTGTCTGACCGCAAGGAAGGACCCTGGCAGAGAGAGAAGCAGCCTCCAGCGGCAACTTTATTTGGAGATTTTGCCCAAATTCCCGTTTCATCGATCAATCCCACCCCAAGGCAAGACCCTGGCACAGAGCCTGCCGGCGCAGCCAGGTGAGATGGGGTGAGCGGGGGCAGCCGTGGAGCGACGGAGACCCCCCTCTCCCAAAAAAACCCCACGCTGTGATGTGGGAACACGCTCCCAGCACTGGGCTTAATGGGAACAGGCTCTCCCAGGAAGGCCGCCGCAGCGCTTGCGCCCCTTTTGATTGACACCTGCCAGTCA